CAGACAAGCGTAAAGTAACAAAAGCCAGCATAGCCTTTGCTCTCTGCGGATTGAAGCTAGTAAGTCTTTTGTGGGTTCAGCCTCGGCCTGCTGCTGTTGCCTTAATGCTGCTAGTCTGGTCGCTTTTCTGAACGTACCCTTGTGCTGTTAGCTGTGTGTATGAATCTTCACAGGCATTTTAGCTGTTCTGGGTGTTAATTTCCAACCAAGTGAATTTTAACCGAAGTATAACCAACCTGGATTTTTATAAGCTTCTTTGAGAATTTCGAATGTCATTCATGGTTATTTACCATAAATTATTTGTCTGACATTATCAGCCAGATGCTCGGAACTTAAATTTTTACCCCAGTATGCTGCTCCAGCCTGGTGCCTGCCGTTCATGCCTGCCTGCCCCCCACCCCCAGTGTCAGGACCCTGCTATTAGACTAGGTAGAGGTAACAATTCAACAAAATGAATGATGGTTCTGCAGTGTCTCTGTGTTCTAACGCTATCGTATCAGTTACGCTAAGTCCGAAGTTGTGCGGTTGTGTTATGCAGAGCAGCCCTCCTCTCTGCTTCTCCTTGCCTTTCACCCAAAAAAAGACCCCAAAGCAAAGGCAGTAACATCACATCCTGAGGAAATATTTCATGCAGTCACATGGGAAGTGAAAACAGTGTCAGCTGTCAAATCTTATGATAGCTATGTGGTTCTTGTAGGAAAGAAATTTAAAGGGGAACTCAAGTCATGGGACAATTGATCTTTTGCTTATTTGTGTAAATAGCAACCCCTAGAATATGGGAATAAACAGATGAAGAGTTTTTCTAACTGTGCAGATATTTCCGGCGATGTGCCAGATTTCTGAGAACTTAATAACCGTGCTGTCTCATGGACTGCAAATACTCATTTCTGCCTGTAGTGCTGCAGCTCTGAGGGCCCAGAGCAGGTCTGTTGACTTCACCAGAAAAGTTCCTTTTCACTGAATGGTTGCATGCAAAACCTGCTGGAGTGACCACTGCTTCCATCTAGTGAGCTCTGCTCTTGTGTCTTTCTGTTTTTAAAAAAAAAAAAAAAAAAAATCTCCTGGGGTCTTGTGATAAAGCTGTTTGTTCTTACAGTTATGCCTGACTAATTTTTTTCTTGCTATATTAGTCACATTACAAAATATACCCTTGCTGACATGAAAATCGTACAAACAAAATCCTGGTAGGTCTTTCTCCAGAGCTGTCCTTTGCAGTAGCTGTTCCCGCTATGCTGAGTACCAAGAGATTCCAGGAGAAGCACACAACTAATTTGAGTCCTTTTAGTTTGAGGGGTTGTAAGGTCACAGAGAGAAGTGTTTAAAAACTCTGAAGCCCTGTAGGGACTGAGGGGGGAGTGTGTGTGTCCTGCCCTCTCTTTTTTTGTTGTTTAATGGTCCTGCTTGTGGCTTAGTGGTACTGATGGGAACATCAATGTAAGCTGTAAGATATTGTGGTCACTATGCAAAGTATGAAGTGGCCCATGTATCAAAAGTACTGAACTGTGTCAGTCATCAGTGAGTGGGGCACAGCATCCTAAAACAAGCAGGTAAAATGTTTACCTGGCAAAGTTCAGAATAGCTTCCTCTGCTTTGCTTTGGTTTTGGCAGGAGTACAGTAGAATGAGTTTGCTGGTTGTCCCTAAGCACTCTCTTACACAGCTTGTATGAGAAAAGCAAAAAGCTGCCTTAGAAATGTCTTGAATACTGTAAACACTGTTGTTTTCATTAGCATTAGCTCATAAACCTGATCTCTTAAGAGGTAGCACTCTATCTGGTAGTGAAAAAGCAAAAAAAAAAAAAGGGAAGAAAAAACCATCTTTGTTTACTCCTTGACTATTTTCTGTTCATCCTTTCATCAGGGTAAAATAGTCTGGTTTACTTTATGCAGCAGTAATTTCCTGGTGCGGGGGGAATGCATATTTTAAGGCTGTTCTGTGGTTTCGCTTAATGGCCATTGGGAGTACAGAGGTTTCTAGTCGCTAATCAAAAACACTTGTCGGGAGGACACCTAGTGGACAGTCCCCGAGATGTAGGGAGGGTCGCTAAAGGGCTGTGACGATCTGCAGGTCCTTGGGAGCAGCAGCTTGAGGAGGGCGTGTGCATATTGCACAGAAAAAGTCTTTGCTCCCGAAGGCAAGACGCGTGCATAAAGTCTTAAGGAAAGCCCGAGACTTGCCGGTCACATCTTTTGAAGAGAAGTGGGTGACACTCTGGTTTCTCTGTCAACTCTAAACACATCACAGCTACAGATCACTGCTATCTAAAGCCAGCAAGAGTGTTTTCATCCTTGAACCACTCCAGTCAGTTTCATCATTTGATCATTTTACGGTTATCTAAAATTAGAAACTTCAGGTAACTCTTACAGAATGTTCAGGATTTTCTCTCTGACTGGAGGTAAAGGTGTTTTCTGGCCAGAGTTCCCACCACCATGGGGAAGGTGGTGTTCATGTTGAGGCTGACAGTTTAGGAAAGGACCTCTGGAAGGGACAAAAAAAGGTGCGAGCGGTGGGGAGATGGGAGGTCACCTAACCTCCAACAAGTTACCTCCAACAAGAGTTGGTTTGTGTTTTGCCTTTGAGGTTGAGTGGGGTGGTAAGAGCAGACAAGCAAAGAAAGGGGCATTCGGAGAACTGTATACAGCTTTGCCTGGGGTTTCTCTGTGTTGTATAAATGAACTTCCATCCCTGAATACCCTTCCTTCTTTGCTTGGCTGTTCCTGTTCCCATCCTCTCCTCTGCCCTCTTCTTCCAGTGTGTGTGCTTCTCCTCCCTTATGTACTCCCTTTGTAGCCTTTCTGTTTTTTTTGTCCTCTCCCCTCCCCAGCATGGAAAGGGTATCACCTCTGCTGCTCTGTTTCTATTTTCTTGTGTCCTTCCCCGTAGTCCTTTTCTTTGTTGCAAGTTCATAAAGGTCCTCTGTCCACCCAACACCAAGCATGGTGAAGCCTTGCTCTTTGCTCATTAAATGCTCCCGTAATACAATATATGGCAGGAGTTTTGTCTGTCTTGCATCTGTATTTGTGAGTGAGAATTTGCTGCTGTAACTTCTTTGCCAGTCAAAGCTGTGGTTTGCTCCAGGATACTTACTGTTCCTCACTTACAAATTTTTGTTCAGCTTCGAATGTGAACACTATCTCTGTGAATAGTTGCTGTAAAGTTTAAAAACAAACAAACAACAAAAAACCCAAAACTCAAGAAGTGAGAAGGAAGATAATAGGGGAAGGAAAGTGTCCAGTTGTTTTTGAGGCTTGATTTTGATTAAGAAAACAAAACCACACATAAAACACAGCTGTTCAAGCAGGCCGTATTTAAAGAGCTGAGACTAGTAGGCAGTGTATTTTCCTGGCGTACCACAGTTGTTCTGGTTTAAACACCCTGTTTCACTGCCTTGCTGTCTGCTGATTTTATTAGTTAAGTAGCAGCTGGCATGCTCTTGCAACCTTGTTTACTGCTTAGTGTGTTGCAGAGGAAGACCAGAGCTGGCACTGCCGAAAGTTACAGATGGCTGGAAAAAGAAATGTGCGTTATGAACTTAATATAACCTTTTCAGACTTTTTTCCTCACTCATTCTGATTTTTAGTAATAAAGACATCATTGTTATCTCTCTATATTTTGTAGTTTTGCCAATTTGAGAATTCACCCCCATGGATTAGTGTTGGTGGATCTGCAGAGCTACAATGATCATACGAAAGGAAGAGAGGAAGTTGATCAGGTATGAGCGATGCTTATCTTACTGGGCTTGTCAAACTGCATGGGGAGCCCTTCTTTTTAGGTCAATCAAAGTGTATCTTGGTAAAAGATTTTTAAATATCAAAGTTAGTTCAAACCTGAATGCTTACGAATAAGGAGTAGAAACACCTGCTGTAGTTACATATACACTTATTGTGTGTGTGCATGCATACACACACACTCTCTTTTTGTAGTTACATATACACGTATCATTGTGTGTGCATGCATACACACACACTCTCTTTTGCATGTCCTGGGCCTTATGTTCTTTCCTGTAAAAGTTGTAAAGACGTAGCAGCCCTGGTGAGGGTCAGGTCTTGTCAGGTACCCAGGGCAGTCAGGGAGAAGTGATGCTCAATCTGCAACCCTAGTGGATTAGTGTATGACTTTTTTTTTCCCCGTCTCTTAATGTGAGAGATGGGGAGCTTCTGTTCTCAAATTTCTCCCCCATGGAGAAAAATAATTTCATCTTCCCTGATGTGAAGGTTCCAGAAATTGGATATTGCAGGGGAATAGGCCACTGCTTTGGCGAGAATGAAACCCAACAGGGTTCTCTTGTTTCTTCTTTGGCTGTGCCTGAAAGGTCTGGCTGTGTTATCCTGGAGGACAGCTAAATGCAGTGATGACAGCTGCTACAATATGCTACATTCTTGCTAGTAATGAGGCTAAGGCAACCAGCTAGTTATTCATAGGCTTCTAAAGTTACATTTCAAAGCCTTTCAGTGCAGGTGCTACTTTTTATTGCCTTCCAAGTAGCCTGATTTACAGATATTTTACATTAAGTGATCACCTATAAATTCCACCTCTCGTTTGCTATTTTTTTCAGCTTCTAAACAAAGTAGAAGAAAGAATGAAAGAATTGTTTCATGGTAATATAAAAAGGGTGAAACGGTAAGTTTGTATATCTGCTTCTGTGTGTGTCTTGTCTGCATGATTGCTAAAGGTAATAAGCAAGTTATGCTTTGCTGTACTGCAATGAATAGCCTGGAGTATGAATTTATGCATGTATTTTTTACCCCAATATTTTAAAATTTTTTTTATTGCAGAATGGAAGATACGGTGAGGTTTGTCACTTTGTTAAGCTTCATCTTCAGTGTTGTTACTTTGGGCAAAATAAGTTCTTTTAATTTGCTGCAATGGTTGCATGAAATGGTGGGAGAAAATGCAACCAGGAAGCAAGAGCAGACTACTCTGGAAGGGCTGGGGAGCCAAGGGTGGTAGGGGGATAGGCTAGGGCGTGAACAGTACCCTCTGGGCCACATCCCACAGCTCGTGGACAATGCAAGCAGGGCTGGTGATAGTGACCAGGATCAACCCCAGCCCTGTGACTGCCAGGCTGGGCTGTAGTACTGAGGCAGCTCCAAGACCAAGCTGGGTGTCAAGGATCAGTCAAAGACTTGGGCAGGCATGGACAGAGCTGCTGCATAGCTTGGGCAGGGACCAGGGGCGAGGGCTGGAGCTGAAATGAAACTCAAGCCCATGGAAGAGTCCCTGCCCTGACAAGGATTCAGGCAGCTCTTTCTCTCACAGCTCTGCCTCTGCTGCGTCTTGTGGTGTTGGCCTTGGGCACGTGTGGTAAAAAACCCAGGGGAACCTGTGCTTAGAGCAAGAAGATAGAAATATTTTGTAGCAAATTTTTTTTAATATACCTGAAGGAGGGAGGCTTTGCAAGCCTTCTGTCGTTTTGGCTTACTTAAATACAAAGTTATATATTAAACTGTGGGGATGCTAATTGTGGTTCGTCACCTGCTACTGGAACAGCATTCATGCTGGAGTTCCCCAGGGAGCTGTAAGGACACGTTGGTGTTTTCCTGGTGACTGTCTGGTGGGGACTGGCACCTCAAAGCCAGGGAGCGCTCACTGCAGGCATGTACATAGTCAGAAGTGGAAATGTTTTAAGAAAAGTAAAGAGCAGTGTAAAAAATCAACAAGATTCAGTAAAGCCAAGGAGCAAACTACAAAATGTGGAACCAGATAAGTACTACTATAGCAGAAAGTAACCTAGAGGCTATACGAGACCATATGTAAAGTGGTAGTGATTTGAAAAGTGATGTTACACCTTGAATATTGGGGTTTTTTGCGTTTAACAGTTGTACGTAAAATATAGAGGTAGATACTTTGCTTTGCTTTGTACTGGTAAAACCTTACCTGGCGCACAGCATGCAAATGTATATGATCTCGTCTATGTGTATGTGGGGGAGAAGCTCTCTCTTTGAGGATATTTTAATACTGGAATGTGATAATGGGAGTTTATGGATTCCCTGTGATAGGGACTTGTTAAAAATGAGTCAGGAAAAGGTCTGCCTGAAATGATCGAGATTAGTTTGGTTACCTTAGTATAGGAAGATGAACCTCCTAGAACAGTGGATCTGGCATGGATCTTGTCATACACCCCTCAACTTTTTTCTTTTTTTTTTTTCTTTAAGTCTGCTTTGCATCCTTCTGGTGTTAGCATCACACATGCAGCTCCACTAGAATTAATGCTACTGGAAAAGTTGTTCCTGCCTTTTTGTTGTCTTGATGTAGTGAATAGATGCTCTCGCTGTCACCGTGTGCTGCCATCTTGTGGCTCACTGAGGGTAGAAAATATTTCTGAAATGTTTATTGAGAGTCATTACTGAATTTAGAAGAAGCCTATCTGTGTCTGGTCTTCTGCTACACCCTCCTCTGGAAAGAGAACCTTTAACTCTCTGAAGTGTGTGTGTGAAATCTGATGAACTCTGTGCCTCCACATTTTGCTTAAAATGGAATGCAATAATTTTGATCATTTGCTGCCATTTCAAATATAGTTTGTCTTTACAGGTGAAGTACTGGTTTGAACCAAGATACTTCTATATGAAATTAAAAAACCAAACAACAAAACCTAAACAATCTATGCAGATGCTTGAACCACTTTTAAAAAATAATGCAAACTGTCAGCTGATATCAAGGATTGTGCTTATACACTGCAGGGTGACCTGACTCAGTTTGAACCACTATAATAGTTCACTTTTTGTGTTTGTATGTGTATTTAAAATGTGTTTCAGTGCAAATTTAGAAAGGCGAGATCCACTAATCTCCCTTATGATGAAAGGCCTGGGGGAGCTGGGTCTCTTTAGCTTGGAGGAGACTGGGGAGTGACCTCATTAGTGTTTATAAATACGTAAAGGGTGAGTGTCAGGAGGATGGAGCCGGGCTCTTCTCGGTGATGGCCAACGATAGGTTAAGGGACAACGGGTGCAGGCTGGAGCGCAGGAGGTTCCACATTAACATAAGGAAAAACTTTTCCACTGTGAGGGTGACAGAGCACCGGAACAGGCTGCCCAGAGAGGTTGTGGAGTCTCCTTCTCTGGAGACATTCAAAACCCGCCTGGATGCGTTCCTGTGTGACCTATTCCAGGTGGTCCTGCTCTGGCAGGGGGGTTGGAGTAGATGATCTTTTGAGGTCCCTTCCAACCCCTAACATCCTGTGATTCTTAGCTGAGCTGAAGGTGGGAAGAGATCTTGTCGTGGCTTTTTGTCTGTGTTCTGCTTTTGTATTGTATCCATTTCTAGTCATGAGCTGACTCTTCTGCAGAAGCTGGTGTGTTATGTAAATCCCCTCTCAGGGTAGAGGTAAATTCACTGGCATTTGTAGAAGTTATACATAAAGAAGGACCATTTATGTATTTTTAACATATGGCTGATAATTTTCATATATCTGAGTGTTAAATCATGCAAGTTTTCTTAGACCCATCTTGTAAATATTATTTATTTATTATGGTGGATCCACAGGATATTTAACGGGATTTTTTTTTTTAAATAAACATTCTTAAATGTTTTGTAATTTTTTTTTTATTTCTAGATTGCCAGCTATTTTGAGAGGAGGTGTCATTGATAGATACTGGCCCACAGCTGATGGGCGCCTGGTGGAGTACGACATAGATGAAGTTGTTTATGATGAAGATTCACCTTTTCAGAATATTAAAATTCTGCATTCAAAACAGTTTGGGAATATTCTTATCCTCAGTGGGGATGTTAGTAAGTATCATCCCATTTGAGGATCTTTTGCATTAAATTGTAGAAAGTGTTCTTTTCTATCTTGCTATGGCACAATTTTAATAGATGACTAAAGGTCGTGGTTCTGATGGTGGAAGCTACCTATATACATGTATACATATATCTGTTCCTGTGTATACAGTATTTTAATCAGAAAGGCTGACCAGTGTAAAATCTAAGCATACAAAACCCAGTTTATTCTTTTTCCAAAGTTGTTGTCTTTCCTGTGGAAAATGGTACAGGAGAATAGAAGTCAAGTGTTCTCTGCTTTCTTTCATGTGAGCTTTTACCTGTTTGTTGCAAGTCAAACCTCTAGAGGGCTTCTCTTTGACAGTAAAACAAGCTACTTTGTCAGTCTTCAAAATGCAGTGGAATTCTGAAGAAATACGAAGAAGCAGGAGCTGTTGGGTGTGTGTGTGGGGAGATAATCCTGCTGCTCCCTTGATTCTTTAAGGGAGTCGCCTGCTTGCTGAGATAGAGGACAGATGTATCTTTAAACCATTTAGCTGCTTTGTTGGTGAACACCTTTTAACTTTGCCTTCTTCAAAATGCTTGGTTGAACTCTAACTTAAAAGCTGGGTCACTCTTCTGATTATGGGAAGGTCTTTATATGTGGTACTCTGCGCCTGCTGATCTTTATATTTTTGAAAGTGAACTTGGGAGAAGATGGGGGTACTATTCCTTTAGGCTGGATAAGAACGCTGTTTGCTTGAAAATGTAGGCATCAAGGAGTATGCTTTGTAAAATCTCTCAGTACTTATGTTGAAAAGTACTGACTGAGGTAAATGAGGGGTGTTGCTGTCTAGAGATAGAATACCTAATTTCAGTCTAATGGCAGAGTAATTAAGAAATTTGACTGTAGCTTTTTGAAATCACTAGAAATGCCTCTAACCATTCAATTAGTTTTCTGCAACCGTCAGGGGGACTTCTGTGCAGATGGCAGCTGAAAAGTGTTCTTATTCGATTAATTAGCAAAGTATTTTCCGATTCAGTTAGAACTATATTTGAAATCACCAAATTAAGTATTCCATACTTCTAGCTAGAAATTTTCATCAGTTTCATATGGAGATGAGGTTTTGTTTGAACGTTGTCACAATGTGCCTTGTAGAAAGGGAAGTATGCCATTACTTACCTTCCAAGGGATTTTTAAATGCAGCTTTCTGACTTTTTGTTATTGTGCACTTAGAAGTAAAGTGCTGATTGCCAGGCAGAATGATGGGATATACTATGGTGTGCTCCTGCACAAAGCTTTGCCCTTGTAGCTCAGAGCTGTTATTACAGCTTAGGAATGTTATTGCCTGCTTTGAAGCTAATGGTGAACAAGTCAGCAGAAGGCATGCTATGATTCTCTGCAGGGATCCACTGGGGTGGTTATCTAGGTTTCCCTTTTTAGTTGGGGTCCAGAGCGTGCTTTCAAAAAATCTCCCAATTTGTCTCTTGCAACATTAGTCTGAGGTAAAAACCCACTGAAGTATCGAGTGTGGACATCAAGTCCTAAGTACTATCAGTTTTGCTCTACCACTTTGCTTCTCTTGGCATGCAGTAGTTCCTAATGCAGAGGTAGCCGTTGCTGGGTTTGCATTGAAAACTAGAGTAATCCTGTGTGGGATTCTGAGGAGGTTCTCATTAGCTTTGGTAAATCACCAGCAGCCTCCTGTTACCTTGACTGTATTGAACAGTGAGGTTGTTTCTGCAGATGCTCTTGCATTGGTCTGTGTTATATCACCTTTGGATTAATACCAAATTAATACCAATTAATGAGAAGAATTAAAGTTGTAATATTTCTGTCCGACTCTTTCTCTTCCTTCCATTCAGATCTGGCAGAGAGTGACCTGGCATATACTCGAGCCATAATGGGCAGCGGAAAGGAAGACTACACTGGCAAAGAAGTGCTAATCCTAGGAGGTGGAGATGGAGGTATACTATATGAGATAGTCAAACTGAAGCCAAAGATGGTTACTATGGTAGAGATATCCTTTGATGAATGATTAATTAGTTTCAACACTTTTCAGCCTGTGTTGTGTTTTCTGCTGATGTCTTAGCATTGAGCACAATTGACTATCAGGTTCTGATTTGCATGAGGAGATAGGGTCCAAAATGAGGTTTCTTTTTGTCTGCTTAGGGAGACCCAGTGACTATGTATTTGTGCATCATTATGTAGCATGTGCTTTCAAGCTCCCAATCCGTACTATAACTCTTGAGTAGCAATTTACATAGAACTGGGAAGGAACACTTCTGTCATCAGACTGGTATCTTCTCTGATAACAGAAGACACGTCTGTCAAGTCTGAGGTTTGGGCTGAGTTCTGCCTTCTTGGGTTCTTCTATTTTTCTAAAGCAAGCAGTAAAAAAAAAAAATCCCTAGAAACAAAGTTTGATCAATAGTGATGTCAGGACTTGGTGAATTGTGTTGGTGGCAGAATGACCGACTCTTGCCCTGTCTTAAAAATACTGATATAAATCAAGTTTTCAACATTCTGTAATTCAAATGGATTGTAATGTGAACCACTCTTAGCCGTATGAAATGTTGATCATCCTAGGTTTTGGGATCCCCTTGCTAGAAACTAAAAATAACTTTTAAAAATGTAGGTTAAAGTCTTAACCTAGTTTAGCTTTATGGGGTTTTTAAATACACCATCCTGTTGTCCACATTTGAAGCTTTCGCAGTAATGGTAACCTGAGGTACCAGAAATACTGGTTAAAAACAAAAATAAGCACTTCCTAAACCTTTGGGTCTGGAGGCAAATACATAAGGTTGTCTATTGCAATATATATACCAAGATATGCATCTTGCTATTCCTTTTTGAGAATTTCTTTCTGAAGAAGTAGAAACTGTTACCTATATTGTTTCTGGAATGTAGAATGCCTTAACTAACTTCAAACATTGACCAAATGGTGATCGACGGGTGTAAAAAGTACATGCGTAAAACATGCGGAGATGTCTTAGACAATCTGAAAGGAGAGTGCTATCAGGTAATTTTTTGTTTTGCTTTCATTAGAAGTAGTGTTTCAAGTACAATTATACCTAGCCTAGAAGGCTGTGATGGCAAAGTTTTGGGGAAAGGTCTTCTAATTTTTCTTAATTTTGGGAAGGATTTTTTCCTTTTTCGTGACACTTCTAAATTTTAATAGCTGGCAGTGGGATTTGTGTTGAAAGTATACGTTAGTGTCAAAATATTTTAACTTTGCATCTTCACACTCTCTTTAAAATAATTATATATAGCTTTTAAGGAGTGTGAAATAGGAGAACGTTTATTGCCGTAGCTTACAAATAAAGAGGAAATAGCAGTAAGGATGCAGTGTTAAACATCATTCCTTAATCTGATGAAAAGATAGAAGAAACATGTGTTTAAGTTAGTGCTGTACTGTTGAGAATATCTGAATTTGTAATACACATTTTAAAGTTATTTTTCATTTGCAGGCAAAATCTCTTTACCTTTACACTGCTAATACATTAAAAATAATTAAAAAAAAAAAATTGGTGCATCCGTGCATCTGAGAGCTTAGAAAGTAGCCCAGGTGTAATCTGACATCTTCACTGGAAATCTTTTATTTCTGTTTTCATTACTGCTGCTTAAGGCTCTCACAGATACTAGTTTACGGGTGTGAGCTAAAAAATGCATGTAAAAAATTAACAGAGGGGTCACATGCTATTTTGCATGAGTCAGTGGCCTCTTATACAAATACCTTATTTTACTGGTATGTTGGGGGGTTGCTAACTGTTGTTACCGTTTGGTACGTAGAACAGTGGTCACTCAGCAATCAGTGACAGAGCTAGGCAATACAGTCCTGTAGTGCCTACATCGTTGTCACAATTCCTACAACTGTTCCTCCTTTTTATATGATGTAAAAAGTTGAAAATGGAGCCTGAAAATAGACGCATCTTATACTTTTCCTCTCCCCTTAATTCCTGTGGATCCGCATTTGTTCCTTTATCTGGTCAGTTTTAGGGTATTTTGAGGACTAGCTGCAGTGTTTCATTCTTGTAGGTTCTAATTGAAGACTGTATTCCCGTACTGAAGAGGTATGCCAAAGAAGGAAGGATGTTTGATTATGTTATTAATGATCTGACGGCTGTTCCAATCTCCACATCTCCAGAAGAAGGTTAATCTTCTAATTTATTTTCCTAAACTTCTGAGGATTTTCCACACTTCTTCCCGCTGCTGTATAATAGTTGGCAGTTTGCAACAAAAATGCTTCGATTCTTGCCCTTTTAATAGCAAACCTGAGAGGCAAAGAATGATAGTAACACATCTGTTCTTTTTGAATTTTTCTTAAATGTTAGAAAAAATTAGCAAATGCCCAGGACTTTTTTAAACTGTACTCTTATTCCAGAATATTATGAACTCATGTAATTCTTGAGAAAGTATTTGGGGAGTTCACACTCCAGTAAACTTTCCCCCACTATATAATTTCGTGAAAGTGTCTGGAAAATTACTGTGAAGAAAAACAGATACTTCCAACATCATTGCCATCGTGTATGGGGTATGTGGGTTTTTTTATGTTGTTTTTTTTTTCTTGTTGATTGTTTTTTTGTTAGTTGTTTTTGGGGTTTTTTTAAGGTGCATGATAGCTACTTTTTAAACAGTAGATATATTGCAAGTCTTGAATATGTAATAGTGAATAAGCCAGTAATGTGCTGTTCTGTTTTTAAATCATACTCTATATGCAGATTCCACATGGGAATTTTTGCGATTGATTCTTGACCTCTCAATGAAAGTCCTGAAACAAGATGGAAAATACTTCACACAGGTATGATACCCGGATGTAAAAAATAAAAAAGTATTGCTATATATGTATTGCAATCTGCATTTTTTGGGTTAAAAATAAAAGGAAGGGGACAAACCCAAACCAATTAACTAAAAAAATCTACTAGCAAGCTGGTTCTCTCCTTTTAATGACTCATTCAGGGATTTTTGCATGAAATTTGGGGTTTACAAATGAACTTCTTTTTTTTCCATTATTTCAGCTGAATTTGTAGTGTCTTTGAATTTAAAAGCATAATTTCAAGAATCAGCTAGGCATACTACAGAATATTTTATCTGTAAGCAATTCTTGGGAAAGAAGAACAGATGTACTTTATAAACAGATACATGGTTTTTAAGCTACTGTCTCCAGTTATAGTGTGTAAGACATAAAAATTTGTCATCCATAAGGGTGTAAGAATTTGACATCATAGGTGCAATGGGATGACAAAATTAGTCATTTGGGAGTAAATACTCTCTTTTTGCTTGCTGTTTACTCCTAATGCAAGTCACTGGTTTGGCTTCTGTAAAATTGATTTTGAACATTTGGATGTCTTTGTAACAATGCTTGGCATTTTGTGAAGTATTTTATATAGTCATAAACAAGATTTTTGTCCCGATGTATGAAGTTTTTAATGCAACTCTATTTAAAAACAAATAACTTGAGTTGTATCTTGCTGCATTTTAGCCACCTCATGGATAATATAATTGCGGTATAGCTTTCATCTGAAGATACTTGCTCTATGTAATCCTGAATTTAGGATGCCACAAAGCTGTGTGCAATTGTACAAAAACGTGACAAGACCCAGCAGACAGTTGAGTGAATTGAGTCTCTGAAGTTTTATTTCTTTTGTCGTGCCCATACCTTAACTAGTATTCTGATGTGTGGAGCATCTGAGTACAGCACTTTGAAATAATCTTGTTAAGATTTGAAATAACCTAGCTAAAATTATGCATTTAGCTCTGTTCCCGTCGGCGTAGAGTTTGAGGTATGTAAAGGAACTGGTTTACTGTAAAATCGGACAGGTATATAAAGAAATTCAAAACTCATAGAATGAGGTTTTTGGCAACTTTAATGTGCTTCTCTATGTTATAATGCTGTGGTTGTATGGGCAGGATGAATTACCTTGTGGTTGAAATGTAAGTTATGACTAATATGGTTGTATCACACTGTAAGTCTTAATGGCTTTTTTATTCTGTTAGTAGTAGAAATATTTATGACAGACTTTGATATTGAAAGGACACTACATCTTTTGGACACAGCAAGCATTTGTGTTGCAGTTGTCATTACATACACCATGAGACTAGCTGACTTTATTAGAGCATATGTAAATGTATGTCTGTAGACAGGTATCTGACAGACTTTGCAGAAGGACTCTGGGAAGAAGCTTGTGCTGAAAGCTGGAGTGATGGCTGTGCTGCAGCCAGGGTACAGGGAGGTTGTTTTGTGTCAGCTGAAATAGTAGAGGTTGAGACTGGTGCAGCCCTGCTGCCTGTCCTGTCCTCATGGGAGGAGCTAACTCGGCTCTTCAGTGTCTCTGCTTGCACGGTAAGAAAGAACAGCACTACTGAACTGGCCCTGGAAGGTCTAAGCCATTGTGAAACTGTGCAGTATTAGTTTCACAATCCCGAGGCAATGAGGTATGACATGGTAGGATGGGAAAGAAACAATATTAAAATTGAAGTAGCTTGAATTTGGACTTGTGGCTAACTGGTAGCCAGTGAAAGGGCTGGAGTACAGAAGCAGTGAATTCCGGCAACTTAGTCTTCCTGAGAGTGTTGAAAAGAGGAAAATTAATATTGGGACAAACAGCTGTCCAAGCTTTTGCTATCTCTATGATACGCTACCCAGCCCATTTGATGGTCCTTGTAGCCTCTTCCCAGTCAGGCCTGATTTAAAAACAAACAGAAAAGCCCTCAGAAAACTCAGTAGTCTGTTCATAGGAAGAACAGACTTTCAGGGGTGCTTTAAATAAAATCAGCTGTCTGTAACTTTCTTTAAATTAGGTTTTGAATTAAATTGAACTTGGATATCCAAAAGATTGGGTTAGACTATGGATGGAAGTTCAAACATGACTGCTACCAACTGTGGTAGCTGAGCTTAGTCACACACTGGGAACTCATACATGGTTTTGAATGCTTTGATGTGTTAGCTGTTAAATGCCAGGGGTTTTTATCTCTGTGTATTAATGTTGGAAGTTTAAGTTACTTTTGTTCCAACTGTCTACTTCCAGGATGTTTATCTTGGGTAGCAGGCTGTACTTTACTTGCTGAAGAAATCACGTGTCTTTTAAGGCAGTTGTGTTTTTAAAATCCAGGACTTTGTGTGCCACCACCGCCGCCCACCCCCTGCTTTAAGTGTCTTTGGGTCTCTAAAACCTAAAGTACATTAAATATCATCATGAAAAGTGACCGGGGAAAATTCCACCCTATTTATTAGAGCCTGACCTTTGCTATGATGAGGAGTCTTATAAGAAAGATGCTGCAAAAGGGTCATTGTCCCCTTGGCTACTGGTCAGTAGCTATAGTTGCTTCTTCTGCCTTGGCATTACGCTATACTAACATTTGAAACTTCTGTTCAGTGTAGCTTGTAGCCTGTCCTCTAGTAGTTCTGCTTACAGGGATTACCTTGTGCATCTTGTTAGAATGTCTTTTATTTCAATGTGTAAGAAATACTTTACCCAAAAGTCGAACTCTGTTCGCAAAAAGCCAGCCTTCCACATGCTGTGTTGCTGCATGACTCTAAATGCCACTGCTGGGAAAAATAAATGGAAATGTTCATCACCTCTTCATTGAGTTCTGTGCAAGTTCTGGAAAATGTTCTTTCAGCCCACGAATTGTCAACAGGCGGGGTCTAGAACTGTCTATGTAGGTATAATTTATCTGAGATTATCAAAAGAATCATTTTTTGGCTCTAAGACACCTCGTTGTTCCCTCGGGACGCCATGGCAATCTTCAAAGCAGTCTCCAAATGCTAATGCAGAATATCCTTTCACCACTAGGTGGAGACTGATAACTAATATTGCCTAGCAGTTTATTAACATTTATAGAGAGATTCTGCCTGTGAAAGGTTTTCCAGACTATTTATTCATATTCCTAGGGGGTGCAAGAACATATGTGGCCAATTTTAGGATGAAGGAAGGACTTTTTGCTCGTTTCAGCTGTGGAAAGATAGAAAGGGCACTTTATGGATCTCATTCTCTGCTGCTGTAAGTCTGTGTTTAAGTATATCGAGGGGAAAGAACGCCTCCGTACTTGCTCTATGCACCCACAAATAGTAATCACAATGAGAACAAAAACTTACTTGTATGAGTAGCAGCCTTGCTTTTGATGTCTCTGCTTTTTTAGCTGCATCATCCATATTAAGAGTCTTGCAGCCTGCAGAGGACCTGGACAGAGAGAGGTGAGCCTTAGGGCCCTTAGCCTGCAGAACTTGCAGCTCTGTCTGTAAGTTTAAGACTTGAGGCTTGTCTGTTGATTATGTTGAACATAATCCCACTACTCAGATGCTTTTAAAGGACATATGGCTTGCTATATCTCTGTTCTTCTGAAGCTGGTGCTTTGAAGTGTTTAGTGGTGTGATACGGGTCCAGGTCTGTGAGGCGCTTAGCGTTGCCTTTTCCAAGGGGAGCCAGTCACAGGTGCAGGTTCCCAACCATCACAGGGGGAAGAAGTGGGAGTCAATGAGGATGTAAGAACCTGGGGTATCCCGAGGTCCAGTCTCATATCTAACGGAGCTTGCCAGTGACCTGTTTCTGAACATGTTAAGTGTTTTTATGCTACTGGGCCATCTAAAAGCTGCAGGAGAGTATGTGTACTGCTTGTAGTTACTAGTGTGATACGTTTGAGTTTTTTTTCTGAAACATCGCTATCCTGCACCTTCCAAGTAGCACGTGAGGATTGTCTCAACAGCTGTGAAACTGTGCTCTATAAGATACAGAGACTGATTGTAAGGTTGTCTCTGTGTGTGAATGGATTATGTGTAGCTAGGAAGATGCCTTTTCTGTGTTAAGTTTTTGCTCTGCTGATCTAATCCTTTGAGGTTGAACAGGCTATCATTTTCAGCCTGTTTATGAAGTGGAACCTTTAAAAATACCTCTGAACAGGAATTTGCTCCTTCCTAGTCTGGGTCACCCAACCCAGGCAGGCTAGAAACTGTCTCAAACCACTCACAGGTTTGGATTCCAGTAAACAGCACTAACCACTGGTGGAAGATATCAGATGTCTCCCCCTACACACATGTGGCCCTGCTCCAAGCTGTCGCTTCCTGGCTGCTCTCTAATACAGTATGGCCCTGCTCTCTAAATGTCCAGACCACCGTGATGTTGCTCCATAGTTACGTTCCTTTTTTTGGCTGCTGTGTGGGTTTCTAATTAGCACTTCCAAAGAGGGAGCAGGGTTCTCCTTGGCTGCAACGTGAAAGGAGGCTGGAAGAACAGATGCATGTCCCTGTGTGAGCCCATGTGATTTCTTGGCAGTTTGGGAGTCTTTAAGGGACAAATACTTCATTTCCCTGTTACTGAGTGTTCAGTTTTAAATTAATTGATCATTTGGACAGTGGAGGTACCTTCAGTCAGGTTTGCCTCCATTATCTCCTTAAAAGCCGTCCGTGTCACCTAAAACTCAAACCTAGTTTTGGTGCTAGGTGTTTCATGCTTTATGGATCTCATTGCTTCTTAGTCACTCTGAAGTGAGGAAGGAAAAAACCTCCAACCATGGCCGTGTTCAACTCCAGCACTTGTCTTTACAAAATAAAAACAGAAAACCATGTTAAATTAAAAATTAAACTTTTATAGTATACTGTCACAGACAAGGATGTCCAGCAGCAATGACATATGGGGTAAGACATGCAAGAATGACATGTGTAAGAAATGGGCAAGTATGAAAAGGGACCTTTTCATCTGTGATCTGCCTTCAAGTGGCTAGTTTACTTTCTAAGGTTGGAGGAAGTATAGTGACTTAAATTCAGCCTGTAGCCGGTTGATGAACATGTCCCCTTTACATGTGGGTAAAATTAACGTGAACTTACAGAGTTAATTTCAACAAATTTTTTTTTTACTACTTATTTTAATAAATGTTTTTATTATCTGCCTGGAGCTGTATTGTTTAAGTTTGTTGTGCATTGTGCTGTAGAAACCTGAAAACTAAACCCATGGTACTACACAATGTATGCCTTATGAAAGCCCAGGAGAACCGGTGGTGGGAGGCAGACTTGAGCTGTCGAAGTGTGTGCAAGCACTGAGCAGACTCCGAATGCAAAGGCTGTGTGTGAAACAGTTCAGGAACTGTCAGTCTTAAACAAGGTCTTACAAATACAGATTGGTAAATCTCAATGTTTAAAACCATCTCAAATACTTTTGTGTCAGATGGATGCTTGTTAAGGAGAAACAAAATTCAGCATTCCCCCATTTCTTGTCTGTCAAATTGTTTGACATGGAATAAAGATTAAGTAAGGGGGGGTTGGGGAGAGGAGTTTGGTAGGGGTTTTGTATATATTGAAAATTGACTGAACAGTGTGGAGAAAAAAGAAAGTCTGATTTTGCTTATTTCACTTTGAAAAAGTATAATTGGCTAGTTATCAACTTTAAATCTTATTAATCACTGTTCAGTATTAGTTATTGAGTGTACAGTCGCTGTTCAGGACAAAAAATGTATTGCTCTACCACATAACTATTTTCATTAGATGGGGAGAATTAAAATGAACACAGGTTATTAGACTGATCACTGTATTGCATTCTGGGCTTGGTTCCCTGTGTCATATTTTAGCAATACAAGAACATCTAAGTGTGTTTGACATCATTATCAACACTGTAGTCTTAGTTGATAAAGCTGGTCAATTCTTACAGAAAGATGTTAATAATAGTAATTTTTTCAATAACTTTCCTCTTTACTGAGGTAAGTTAATCTAAGTTTTGTAGACTTGATTTTTGGAAATTTTAAACTTTTTGTTGAGTAAAGCCAAATAATTACAGAAATAATTGTAACTGTGCAGAACTGTAAAATCCTGTGGTGCGTCTCCAGAAGGAGAGGTTACTAGAACAGCCATGTGGGATGTCTGAACCTTTAGGTAAGATCTTGATTTGGAGACTGGGGAGTTGTGGGTTTGAAAAGTAAAAATTGTTTATTGGCATGTTTCATTGTTCCTGTAATTTGTTTTCCACGCTGTCTGCAGTGATTTGTCTCTTTCTGGAGATGGGAGAAAGGATGAAATACTGAAGTGACAGGCTGGGAAACTGTGGATACTTTTATCTCATTGTGTATCCTATTAAACTTCCTCCATAATAGTGGTATGCTTCATAAATTACCTAGCAGTGTTTTCTATTTATGACTCAAATTACACACACAGGTTGTTTTTTAGGTTTCTTTTGTGTTCAGTCTGATGTTGAAACAAAATTATATGTTTGGTAAAGGGCGGCTGAACCAAATAACTGCTACAGTCCCCTGGATAATAACAGGTTACTAAACAAGTACTACAGTAGTCTGTTCGTTGTTGTGCTTTGTGCAGTTGTGCTCAGTTAGTGTTTATCTCTTACCTTTTCACAAACCTCTTTTCTTTTCAGATACCCAAAACAAACTATGATATGTTCAATATAAAGCATGCCATCTTCCTTCACCAAATAAAGAAATACATGTTTGTTCATGGAATATGATCAAAATCATAATCAAACACATGTTTTATGTAAGTTCTTTTGAAAGAGAGCTTTCAAAAATATGATTTTTTAAAAGATGCTGTGTATGGAATTTTTTAAGTTGAGGTTTTCTTTTCCACTTGTAAAGACTTCAGCACAATGCAAAAAATTCATTGAGCATGATGCAAAAAATTTCAGAGGAAGAACAGTAGGATGCAGTCTCTTTTCATTTTCTCTGGTAACAGAATTTTTTTAAATACACTGTGAAAAAGATCTTACCAATAAAAAGTAGTAGAAAAAAACGTTTAGATCTCAAAGTCAGAATGTGCATTATACACTACCTTTCTAGTTATCATCTGATATTGTTACGTGGAAAAAGCAATGTAGATGGAGTTGTTTAGACATACTGAATTCAAATAAGATCTCTGCTTGTTTTGGCCTCTGCCCATTGTGTGTTGTTTTTAAGAATACAGGTAGTATTTGTTGATCAAATTCATCTTAATTCCTTGCTTTGTGAAAAACTAACTTTCAGTTGTGTCTCTGTGCGCTTAATTATATTAAGGCCATTTTAAAAAATCTGGGAGCACCAAAAAGCAGAAGTTAAACAGTAAAACGTGGCTTTCCTAAAGACCATTTTCTTAGCGTTAAAAGCTTCACAATGTGTTAGTAGAGGAATGCACACATGTGAAACATAGGTAGTGCAGACATTTTGGAAGTGTTGAGTACATCCTTTGTTCCTGGGGTCCTGTAGAACTTGACCTTCATTTCAAGTTAGAGGTTTTAAAATATTGATTAAGCTGGGACTGCAAGAGAGCTGTAGTTCTTAATTTGATCTAGCTCTTTATTCTTAGTTGAACCGTCTGCATTCTTTCAGAGTCAGATGTGAGTTAGGTACCTCGTTCGGTAATTGGAAAAAAACCCAAATCATGTGTGCATGCATGCGCGAACGTTTCCTGAAGCCGTTCAGAGCAGAGGGAAGATACTGCCATTCCATAGGTGAAGTCTATTGCTTTAGACTTTCTTGTTCTTGTCTCTCTCTCTTGCAAAGTTTAAGGCTTTTTAAAATCAAAAGCAGTACTCTGCTTGGAAGTGCTTATGCTGGAAGGCTTTTGGCCTGTCCAATAATGAAAAGAAAGAGTCACCTAGAAACCAAGAAGCTGGCTGTATTAGTAAATGACTGTGTTTTCCTTTTTTATTTTTTTTTATTTATCTAGACCTTTTTCTGTCTAACGCATATCCTGGTATCATAGAGACTGATGTTCTCGTGATCTGAGATAAATAGCAAACTTTTGTACCTCATTGTTTTGTGGGACTTTGGCTCGTACACTAGGTTACTAGGAACTGTACTCATTAGCCTGAAAGTTCCTTTTTTGTTATCTTTTTTTTGTCTTCTGTGGTAAACATAGTTCTTCCACTAGAAGTGGTAAAATGTGTGGGAAAGCTGAGGATTTTAATGTTGAAAATAACTGTGGAGAAATGCTAGTTAATACTTCTGTTTCTACTGATTAGAAAGCAGAAGAAGAAGGTAGGCTTTGTGCTAGGTCAGGGTAAAAGGCACTTAGAGTATAAGCTAGGAAGTGCAACCATTAGGGAAGGAAGGGGACTCGCGTCTCCTGAAGATGTCTCATCCTGCCCCACTTATGACCGGATAGGCACATGCTATGCAGTCAAGGTAGATTCATCATACAGCTTGCTGTTCATGTATAGTGAGTGACATGGTTGGGCATCATGTTTGAGGCCTATAGGTTGAGCTGAAAGGTTTGTCGTGAAAATACTGGAAGTAGAAGACAAACAAATCAATTCATCTGGCTGTCAGCTTGCCAAGGACCACTAACATCTTTTCCTCTTTGACCAGAATCACAGAGTATCTTGTCTTTGGGCTGTGCCACAGCAACAGTACATTCATATTTGGTGGGGCTTTATTCAGCCTCTTGTACCTGGGAAACAAAAGCTGAGTAATTTGTAGACCATGCAGTGGTGACTATTCAGTTTTACTCCATTTTAAATTAATGTCCAAATAACTTGTGTTTGCCGCACTCCTTAAGATAATTGTATTTAAGGTCATAAAGTATCAGCCATTCTACTCAGTTATGTAGGCAAGAAAAGCAAGGAATTTGAGAAGAAGGTTTTTTTTTTATTGAACTTGCAAACTGACTTATTGCTTTGGGTGGCTTGTGTTTGGTCAGTCTGGTGTTCTGTGCGCTCACTGTTACCACTAAATCTTCAAACCCATGATGGATATGGATAGTCGCTTTTCTGATGAGAGCTTTCTCTATGGACACCCCAGGTGTATGTTGCAGTAACTTCTGCTTGTTAATGCTTAGCTTTGGACAAGGTTGTGCTCGTAATTAGGAGTTGTTTTGCGAATTTTTTTTAAATTCCTCAGTGTTCATGTTCTAAGAATGATCCGTTTGGGTAATATTTTTCTGGGAACAAATACTGTGAATTCAATGTGTCTGGTATTTCATAGTTGCGCTGTTAGAGAAGAATCATCTAAGCACCACTTATTGTTTTGTTCAGAAAACGATACTGCTAATATTCTTAGATGGGATAAAACACAGGTCCAAGAAAAAAGTATCACAGGAATCGTTTCCTTTTTCAGAAGCATGATGCAGAAACTCGAGACAATGTAGCCTGCAGCTGCAGAACTTCTGTATAATCTGATTTATTTTGTCATATTGCTCTGTGGAAGAATCTGTTTAAAATGAATAGGTTATAGGTTTGCTTTATAGTGCGTTTAAGTGTTGTAAGACCTAGGCAATGTTAAATAATTGAGAAAATCTGGATGTTGTAATACTGTTTACCAATATATTTAAGCAGTCATAAAGAAAATGGTTATTGAGTAGATGTTATAGGTAAACAACACATGGTGGTCTGTTTTAACTGGAAGTCCTAATGTAATGGTTGCTTCTGCTAATGAGAAGATAGATAATCTCCCCCATACTTACCCTTTCTTGAAAAGACACAAATTGTTGTTTGCTGTAGGCAGAATGAAGACAAGCTGTTCAGTATTTGCATTGTATTATTAAATATTAAAGAACAGCAAGTATCTGGTTCTGAAGTCTGTGGGAGCCTTGCATTAATGTCAAAATGTATGTATTCATCTGCAAATTTGCTTGTTTGATTGTAACTGGGACTCCTTTTTTTTCTGCAGGGAAACTGTATCAATCTGACGGATGCCTTGACTCTGTATGAAGAACAGCTTAGCAGGCTTTATTGTCCTGTGGAGTTTTCAAAAGAAACTGTGTGTGTGCCCTCCTACATGGAATTGTATCCTTAAAGACTGAAAGAGAGTGGAGAGTGTGTATTAATAAACCAAGCAAGCCTAGATTGCTTGGAGGTAATGAACTCAAGTGCAAGAAGGCAGTTCTGATTTAAACACTATTAATGTTTTTTCATAGTAAATGAACTACTGCAGTTTTATTTTGAGGATAATAGCAGGAATTGTTTTTTAAAGGTGCCATAAATTCATAGCTGGTGAAATGATCAGCACCTTTCAAGATCAGGCTATGCTTTATTAATGTTTTTGAGTGTTTCCAAGTGTATTGTTTATGCAGTGTAGGATAAACTGTATGATGAGGGTAATGCTGCCTGGGAGTTCTGGCAAGGCTGTATCATCTTTTTCTTTTTTTTTCTTTCACAAAAACCCACCAAACTAACTTCGTACAGATTAGCATGATCCAGATCTTTAAATATTCTCTAATAGACCTGTTCTTGAACATACAGCTCAGACTGGATTTTTAATGGAGAGAAAAAAGTGATAGCTTACAGTCATTACTAGTTAGTGTTACTGAAAAAAATATTCCAAATGGAGGGGTATACGCACTTCTCAGCAACATCCCAGTCCTAAAAATGATTCTTCAGAATTTGTTTTGTGGATGGCAGGCAAGTTACACAAGAAGCTAGGCGTTTCGGCTTCAAGCTGTTAGTTCTAGAGGGGGCATTTTGACCTGCTGTAGGGTGCTTCTGCTGGCTGCATTTGCTTTGAGTGTGATCTCCCAAGAAACGTTTCTGCAGGGTGCTGCCTGCTGTGGCTGTCCCTCTCTTGACAGGAGAGATCTTTCTAGGGTCTGCTTATTCATAATAATAATAGAATCATAGAATGGTTTGGGTTGCAAGGGACCTTATGTAAAGCACATGAAACTCTGCCACAGCCTTTCTTCTGCTCTGTGTTCATTTTGCCTTCCTCCTCTGTCTCTAATCTTGATACTGTTTAATGCTATAGCCTGTTGTTCTGGACTCCATACTGACTGTAACAAGCTCCTCCTGTTTCTCGTTATCAGCTCTCTAGTGAAACTCAGATTTGATCTTAACATTTTCAAGACAAAAAAGGACTGAAAGAGGATATGAAGATATTTGCCCTTGTAGTTTACAGTTTCAGAGAAACTGGTTACAACTGCCAGGCACTAATGCAACATGGATGTCATCTGAAGTATGCATCGTCAGAAAGTCTAAATACTTACTGCATTGTTTATTTGGAAGTATGCAAAATGTTTCTAAATTAATTGAGTAGCTTCATTCTTTTGAAGAATACATTTAGATGTTTCTCGTAAGCTAACAGATATGAAGTATTTTTAGTAATAAATTTATTAAAACTGGCCATTAAGTAGGTATAACGGAGCTTGAAAATGGACAGTTCTTAGAGAAATGGGGCATGCTTCGGTAGTTTGCTTTTTCTGAATGAATTAACAATGATATAATGGTATAGGAACAGGAATGTTAAAGGAGGAGTCATCTTGATGACTTCATATTAGGTCAAAGTAAGTACTCGAACTTTTAATTTGGCATTGGACTTCTGATATCCCTTTACCTGCATTTCAGGTACAGGTAATCGCCTTTCTTGAAACTTAAGATTTCCAAGTAGGAGTATGTATGTGAATGAAAGGTTATACCTAAATGCTGTTTCGCAGATGACTGAGAGATGTGATGGTTTACAATCAAAAATAAGGGATTTATTTCTTTCTGAAGAGTGTCACACATTTGTGGCATTCATTTAAGTGCCCGAAATCTCTTGAGCCACTGAACAAATCTTTTCACTTATGAAAAGGTTCATTTTTGTAATCTGACCAAAAGTTACCTGCGTGGGTACCTGAATGCAGCCAAAGTACTAAGGTGGCTTGTCACTTTTTATTGATATTTGTTTTGCCTACTTCAAGAATTGTTACTATGTGTGATTGGTACTTGGAATTGTGGTGTTTACCCATGTTGCTGTGGGGGTCATCTGAAATTCAAGTAGCTGTTGACATAAAAGATGGCTCTGTCTTGAGGAAAGCAAATGTGTGTCTGAGGTCTCCACCAGGACCTTATGGTAAACATGGAGGCTCTCATCTGCAGCATGTGTGACCTCGCTGTGTAAACAGAAGAGCATGTGACTTTATGTGGTTTTACTAAGTTATCAATCCCAGAAATCTATGCCTTACTCTTCAGCTGTTGCTGTAGCTCTAAAAAACGTGATGTTCATGTCTCATCCTCCCATCTTCTCCTCTGGAAGCAGGTAGAATTACGTAGCTTTGACCTCTCTCATGCTCATGCATGGCAAGAGAGCTCTTGAGGATCAGTTGCCTGTCCTGGCAGGAGTACTTCAGAGAGCTGTGGTTTGAGCATAGCTTCTCTATGATTCTGGTGGAGCTGGGTCCATCTGCCTCCAGAGGAGCAGCAAAAAGAGCACTGATGCAGCTGCCAGTTGCTCTGCATTTGCTTCTAGCTCAGTCTGGGCAACGTAAAGGTCTGCTTTCTGGAAAGTTGTTTACATATCATAGAATCATAGAACAGTTTGGGTTGGAAGGGACCTTAAATATCATCTAGTTCCAACCCCCCTGCCATGGGCAGGGACACCTTCCACCAGACCAGGTTGCTCAAAGCCCCATCCAGCCTGGCCTTGAACACTGCCAGGGAGGGGGCAGCCACAGCTCCTCTGGGCAACCTCTTCCAGTGCCTCACCAGCCTCACAGTGAAGAATTTCCTTCTAATATCTAATCTAAATCCACCCTCTTTGAGTTTGAAACCATTACTCTTTGTCCTATCACTACCCTCCCTGATCAAGAGTCCCCCGCCCCCTTTCCTGCAGGCCCCCTTTAAGCACTGGAAGGCCGCTGTAAGGTCTCCCTGGAGCCTTCTCTTCTCCAGGCTGAACAACCCCAGCTCTCTCAGCCTGTCCTCACAGGGGAGGTGCTCCAGCCCCCTGGTCATCTTCATGGCCCTCCTCTGGACCCACTTGAGCAGGTCCATGTCTGTCTTGTGCTGGGAACCCCAGAGCTGAACGCAGTACCCCAGGTTGTGTTAGGTAACTGGATGTCTCTTTCCCATTCAAGCTTGTTACTTTGCAATTGAGAAGATGAGCAAGAGGGATCCCAGCTGATGGAAGTTTTGGTCACTCTTCGCAAAGTATTTCTGTGGTTTGTTCAGTAGTTGCAATTCATAAAAAAATGCGCCACCAGAAAGTCTGCAGC